CATTCTTTTGCTTATCTCAAGATTCCTTCGTGTTGCATCTTGTTCAGTGTATCGATGACTCAACAAAAGAATGCAATTTAATATTTAGAAATCACTTTAATTGATTATTCCTGTGTTAGTCATTGAGTAGATTGGGACTGTAATAATCTACTAATAGCAGTAATATCATGGATACACTAGATGTACAACAACATCTGAAAAAGATTCACCCCAGTCTAGAAAATAATGTTTATGCTTCTGATAGACTGCCCATGTATACCCATGTACCAACGTATATAATATGCAATTTGCATACAGATGATAAACCAGGTATATTGGGTAGCTTTATATATCGATACGAATGACGTCGGTCAATATTTTGATTCATATGGACGGTCACCTGTACTATATCATCTAGAGTTTTTAAAAATGAATTGTAAAAGATGGAACTGGAATGTTGATAGGATTCAGAATGAGTGGACTTCAGTTTGTGGCGAATATTGCTTAATGTATTTGCTATATAAGTTTCAGGGATGTTCAATGCATAGTTTTACGAGTATATTTACAGGGAACACATTGTACAATGATATTTTAGTGGATGAGATGTTTGGCTCCTATTTTATAGACAATAAGTAATAAGATTTTGTATTTTGTAAATAAAAATTGTAACAAAATTAGGTAATGTGTTTTATTGATGATTCAGATTAGCGTTGTAGATAGGATCAAAGAAGTATAATACAATAGCACTGATAAGCCGACGCATACGCCGAGGAAAAATAGACAATGACGGTATTCAATGAACAATAGATAAATAGATAAGAACAATGGGGCGCTAATGACGGTGGAGGCCCTCACCGGATATCAATTAGATAAGAGTTAATTGATCTGCACATCTCCGGAACCGTGCACCCTACGCAAAAACGGACCGCAGATTCGTGATCAGAGCCTGCCAAAACCTTGTTTTTTTTAGGATCGTGAGTCGACGAACGTTGTACCACTTTTGACTCAGTGAGCCAGAAGTGGTACTACCTATCTACTGTTATCGGAGCATTGGACCATTTGTCTGTCCTAATTGTAAATTATAGACAATATTACTGTGGTATAGGTACAGTGGCGATGGATAGGAGACACGACGGTATGACTTTGGTCCCTTGGGATAAAACCCTAGTGTGGATTTTACGTGCGTGGACATCAGGTAGCCTTAAAAGGCTTCAGGGGTACGTCGTTTACAGCCAGGGTGGCATGAGAACTGGCTGAACTGAGTAAGTAGCGCAAATATGAGTCTCCGAAAGACGGCTACATTAGAATACATATTTATGCGATTTGCTGTAAAGTTTATCGGTCCATGGGGTCCACGTGTGGTAAAGTACCTAAGGAATATCCGTCGCGGTGGTGATAATATTAAATGATTCTCTTTCGACATTCAGCAATGAAATTCAGCCAGCACTATTGGCACTATACCGTAGTGCTTAGGGTTGTGTAATAATAGTGGGTTGGATTTAGAATCGTTTGGCAGGAATTTAGGGGAGTAAGGTGTTTTATTTGGTAGAGGTTTGGTCCCCGATTATAATAATACCACTCACATCAAAAGGTAATGCACCGTTATCGAAAAAATAAATAAAAACTATTATAACCTAAAATGCGTAAAGTATTGAAAATGATAATTTTTTTATTATTAACAGGCATTATGGCTCTGGGTGCTAGCACTTCCGAAAAAAAAATTACACGATATTACATTACTGGATAGCATACAGAATTTTGTGTCTGTGGCGGGAGCAAAGGCAAACTCACTTTATAGATATCTGATCTGATCGAATCTGTTCTATAATTAAATAGTAGTAGTGTGCTTATTATTGTATTATATATTATGTTTATAATTTAAAGTAATCATAAAAGCTAATATGTTGGAGTTTTCCTGAGTGCAAGAGCGAGCGAAGCGACTCGGGACTTAGGGTACCCCGACATGGACAGGTTAGGTTAGAAGGGGATGGCGGGGTCGAGTGAGCGAGCGAAGCGAGCGTATAGATCCCGCCTTCCGGGGTTATTTTTTTTGTAAACCACTTAGAAGTAGGAGCCCCGCCAAGCGGGGCTCCGTCGACCGGACTTCCCTCGACTGCGTTACGTGGTGCTTCCCTCCCCCAACTCTCTCCCCCATAAATCAAAAACATAACCTCAAAATTAGATTTTTAAAAATTTATAAAAAAAGGAAACTAAGCATGGCAAGATGTGGAAGTGGACGGTGACTCTACAACTCCCCTGCCTCTCTCTCCACCACATTCCACCCTCTTAATTCATTTTGAGTTATCATTTTGAGGTTAGTTCTATGGGATTTTCTTTTTTGATTTTTTCTCAAGAACGGTGCATTACCTTTTATTGTGAGTGGTATTATTATAATCGGGGACCAAACCTCTACCAAATAAAACACCTTACTCCCACAAATTCTTGCCAAACGATTCTAAATTTCAACTATTTAGGTAATTAATTATAGTTTTTAATAGTAATGCCAATTTACTAATTATTTTTAATTTTTTTATTAATTATAAGTAATTATTAATTTTAATATTGTATATTATGTAAATAAAAAAATTTAAAATTGAAGTACATATCTTCTAAACGCTAGGATATTAATTAATAGTATTATTTTAGTAACAATCGATAAAATTAGTAATATATTATATAGATATACATCTATGTTTTAATCCATACAATTTTGTTTTAAAATGCCTGAGCCGCTAGATACCAGCACATATAAGGTGATTAAATAAATAGTTTACCAGGACGTCATAATCGCATCAGCGACAAAGCCCTTTTTCTGTGAATAAAAAAATAGTTAATAAATAAGTGAATAAATTCTTTATTGTTCAAAAACATGCAAGTAAAATCTGCATATAATTATTAAATAATAGCAGCTAATATAATGTACTTATTATGTCACACAAAAGATGGTTGCATACAGAAAACCAACTGTCCCTAAGCTAGGTATAAATCTGTGATTAACTGAAGATGAGAGATTTGTAAAAATATCATTCACCACATTCAATCATTATAGCTCGTCAAAATCCACCGCTGGACCTTGGCCGTCCCGTAGATTGCCTCATAAGGGGTTACTGGATTCCTGGCATTCCATCTTAGTCCCCAGGGGTGACAACATTTTGATTCTTAGTCGAGGATAAATGTAGATGTCTATGGACCACAGAATCCACTTACCATCAGGTGGGCTGTGTGCTCGTTTGTTACCCCCTTTCTATAAAATAAATAAAAAATAGGTATAAAAAAATTGACCTCATCAAAGTTCAAAAATTTTATTATACAAAGTTTGTATAAAAAGGGTTATTATAATATTAAGGAATTTATGGATGATAATAACCCCTGGGAAAGGTTAGGCTACAAAGCTATTTTTAATTTATATTGGATTGTAAGCTATTGTGTAACATTAAATTATTGTAAGCTATTCTTTTTTTTTAATATATTCCGTCACAAAAGTGTAATATTCAATAATATATTGATGGTAATGACGGTGAGTGGAAAAAAATATTAATAGTAATAAATAAAGCAAATGGCTTATATTTGTGAGTTTGCGGAAAAGAACTAGACTATGAAAATATGTTAATAAAATAATTGACTATTATACACATTAAAAATAATTAATAAATTAAAGAAAGTGGATTAAATAAATACATCGGCCTCCGCTGCCACCATCTAGCGGTATAAATTAATACTACGTCTCAAGTTCACAACCATATTGAATAATCGACACCCGTCTATTACTAACTTCACAATAATCTAACTTCACAATAACCTTTCGTTTGACACTAGAGGTCGCGAATTACTCTCATAACAAACATACGAATAAAGATAAAATGGATGATCTGCAGAGACTTATAAGAGAAATTAAAACAGATTTTAGTAAAAAATTAAATTCAATAGAATCACAGTTTTCTTAATTAGAAGAAAGAATGACCTCAAAAATTACTCGTAATTCAAATATAAATGAAAAATTCCAGGAACTGAGCAACAAATACGATAATTTTTTGCACAGGTTTTAGATCAAGAAAAAAGAATATTCGCACTCGGAAAAGCAAACAAACAAAGAAATTTAGTATTTTTTGGAGTTGAAGAGGGAGAATTAAAATACTTTGAGTTACAAGAAAAAATTTTGCATTTAATAAAAAATCTAATAAAAATTGATATACAAGACTTCGAACTTGAATCAGTAAGAAGGCTTGGTAAAAGAGGAATTAATATCAGACCTGTTGCTGTAGCCATAACTACGCTAGGCAAAAAAATTAAAATATTGCAAAATAAAAAACAGCTTAAAGAATCGAACATCTACGTCACAGAAGAATATACAGAAAGAGTATTAAAAATTAGAAAAAATCTAAAAGCACAACTACAACAAGAAATTGAAAAAGGGAAACGTGGCTTACATAAAATATGCCAAACTCATAATATAGGTAAGAAAAGATGTACACCCAAATAAAAGACCACTCTCTTTATCACCACCGTTGCCACACCAAACAACCAATCTACATATCGCTCCTCTAAACCCAGAAATTCCAGAAACAGTGAAAATATAAGAATTAATAAGAAACATAGATCGAGCCTTAACCAAACAACATCATATTATTATAAAAATAATAATAAAGACTCTCGGATTTATGAACACTCAACAGATATATGCACACAAAGTACAGGCCCTTTCCAGACAACATAGTAAAACAATGAATCAATGCACTACTCAGAATCACTCTCCCAATACGGATGGTCACCGTGGGAGCAGTAGACCAAAACCCTCTATCCATAAAGTCAAAATAAAAAGCGAAAACAATATTAAAATACATATCGTCACATGTAATGTAAGGTCTCTAGTCGGAAACGGCCGCCAAGAAGAATTCTAGACCACACCCTTAGATATATAAAATGAGACATTATAGGCTTAGCTGAAGTAAAAAAAGAAGGGACTAAAATTTTAGAATATGAACAATATATACTTATTCACACAGGAGGAAAGCGTGGTATAAATGCAGTCGGATTTGTTATTAAAAGAAAATGGAGAAAAAACTAACTACACAAGTATATCTGATAGAGTCGCAGGTCTAGATATGAAGTTTGGTCAAAAAAATTTAACTTTAATCCAAGTTTACGCGCCTACATATAAAGCTAAAGAAAGTGAGATTCAACTCTTTTACTCAGAGATACTAAAAGCACTACAAAATTCATCAACATCTACAATGATAATGGGTGATTTTAATGAAAAAATTGGACAACCAACGCCCAAAGACAAAAGTAGTATGGGACCATGGGGATTTGGTGACAGAAATGAACGGGGTGAGTTATTAATTCAGTTTTGCTTAGAGAATCAATTTAAAATAAGTAGTACATATATCAAGAAAAAATTAAAGAATAGATGGACTTGTGAAAGAATAGATGGACTACTAACCCAATGGTAGAACGCGTAACAAAATTGACTTCATTCTTACAAAAGATATAAGAGAAAAGAAAAACCTAGAAATAATAAATACAACCTATCCATCAGACCATAGACTTGTACGTGGATGCGTCAACATTAAAACTAAAGTAAAAAAGAACAGGAAAAAATTTTGTGCTCCAAAAAGACAGTTAACACCAAGTGAAAATGAATTCCTCAAAGGGATGTTTCCAGAGTTATTAACTAAAGAGAAAGAAAACTTGCAAAAAAAACTACAGAAACCTGACTAATATAATAGAAGAATGTTTAAAAAAGTTGCCAAAATACGTAAAGAAAATTCTAATTTTGTCCAAATATAAAAGAACTTATTAAAGAAAGAACGAAACTTAAAAGTAAAGAAAAAAAGACTAAAGAAGAAAAAATATACTGTCCAAACTCTACCTCAAAATAAAAAAAATATTAATAAAAAAATATTTGAATACCACTTAAAAGTATTAGAAGAAGAGTTATTACATAAAGGCTCTACAAAAAATGCACAAAAACGACTCACTTTATCCAAAGAGTGGACTTCCTCACTAAAAGCAAATGACAAAGGAAAAACTACAAATAAAGAATACCTTTTAAAAATAGCTACTGATTTTTATAAAAACTTATACAAAAGTCATAACGTGGACAATAACATAACGGATGAATTAATAAATAATAGTTGTATTGTGGACATAAACAATCGTATTCCGCCACTAGTACCGTGCGAGATAAGTCATGCCATAAAAAAGTAAGGTTCAGGAGAAGATAATATTTCAAATGATGTTCTGAAAGCGATAAAAGAACCGATCACACCGATATTAACAAATATTTTCAACGAAATACTCGACCTCAGTCAAATACCAGAAGATTGGGCAAACTCTACTATCATATTATTGTACAAGAAAGGTGATCGAATAAATATCAACAACTATAGACCTATATCCCTATTGCATACAATTTATAAAGTTTTCACAAGTATATTACTTAACAGAATCAAACCCAAATAAGGCTATATACAACCGAGAGAACAAGCTGGTTTTCGTCCCAAATTCTCTACAATGGATCACATCTTTGTTTTGATTCAGATAATGGAAAGATATGAAAAATATAACAAAACTCTTTACATCGCATTTATTGATTATTCAAAATCTTTCGACTCTATTTACCATGACTCACTTTGGTTGGCGTTGAAATCTCATAGAATACATAACCATTATATAAGAATACTGAAAGAAATTTATAGTCAAACTACAGCAACAATAAGAATGGAGAGACCAGGACAGCCATTTAAAATCGAGAGAGGGGTGAGACAGGGGGACCCGATCTCACCTAATCTATTTACTTGTTTATTAGAGTACATTTTCTCAAAACTTGACTGGGGCAAACGAGGCATTAATATTAACGGAGAAATTTCGAGTCATCTACGTTTTGTAGACGACATTATCATATTAAGCGAAAATCACGAAGATCTTATATATATGGTTCAGTCTTTAGACATAGAAAGCAGAAAATGTGGCCTATAAATGAATCCAGATAAAACTTGTATATTGACAAATAGCATAAAAATGCCTGTACACGTTCAAAACCATCAAATTAGATATGTTAATGAATATATTATTTTTTTATATTAACTTGGGCAAAATATTTCATTTCACAACTTAACAATGACGGAAGTTAATAGAAGAATTAAATTAGCTTGGAGCAAATATTGGTCACTAAAACATATTTTCAAGGCAAAACTACCAATTAAATTAAAAAAGAACGCGATGGATACTACTGTACTCCCCACTTCATTGTATGGATGTCAAAACTGGGCTCTCACAAGGAAAATAATATCTAAGCTACAAGTTTTCCAACGAGCAACGGAACGCAGCATGCTTAACGTTAAACTAAGACATCGACATAGAAACAGTGATATATACGAAAAATAACAAATATCATAGACGCAGCCAAATTTGCTTGTCAACGAAGTGGAGATGGGCAGGACACGTGGCAAGAGTCAGTGATGGGAGATGGACTGAACGGGTGCTTCATTGGTACCCGCGTGATACGACGCGCTCGCGCGGGCGACCGCAGTCACGCTGGTGCGACGACATTGTAGAGGTGGCAGGAGCAACGTGGACGAGGCTAGCGGCAGACAGAACCTCATGGAAAAGGATGGAGGAGGCCTTCACCCGGAAATGGGTATCCCATAATTAATTAAAATTAATATAATAAATTATGATACTATTTTATGTGTATAGCCAAATTCAGTAGATTATTATTAACTTCAATTTTATTATTTTTAATTACATATTTTGTGACAAAATCAAAATAAGTTGACAATTACTTAAAAATATAAATATAAATTAATTATTTACCCTAACATTATTTATAAATAATCAAAAATTAATTTTGTAAATTTAATTTAAACTTTTTATTTAAAATTGACACTGGCATTAACGTGTCATTTAATTAAAAAAATTGCATGACTCATAATAATATTGTAACTGGTTTTAACTAATATCAACTGCTGTATGAAAATTGGGAATTAAATGGCTATTATTATTATTTTATGGGGTATCTATATAGTTTTCTCATCTGGTTGGGTTCTAAAAATATATAATTATAAATGAAAATGAAAAGATAAATATACATAAATATCAATAACATAAAATAAATATAAAAATACATATATAAATAAAAGCCCAACCAGGTGTAGGCCCTCGGCAGGGGAGACCAAACGGCCGAGGGTTAGGTGGAAAGGGAAAGAAACCGGCGGACGATGCGGGCGGTATCGAGGAGCACTGCCTTCTGCATTTGAGCTCGGAGCGGTCCGTCACGGAGTCCCAGTCGCCTCAGATGACCCGAGAGGCTGACTGGGATTAACCCATTCGCAGAGACGACTACAGGAATAATTTCGGCCGGCATACCACCCCACATGTCGGTCACCTCGTGAGCCAGGTCCAGATATTTTGTTCGTTTATCTGTTTCGGCTTTCACGAGGTTCTCGTCAAACGGAATGGTAATGTCGACAAAAAATATCCTTGACTGTGCCCGGTTCATCAGCACAATATCAGGTTTATTCGCAAGAATAGTCCTGTCTGTGATGATGGCTCGGTCCCAGTAGAGCCTGGCGCGGTCATTTTCGAGCACGGCTTTCGGCAATTATTTGTAATAAGGCAATTGTCGGTCCACGAGACCGTATTTCAGAGCGAGCTCCTGGTGTAGAATCCGGGCTACTAGGTTGTGCTTGTGCAAGTACACAGAGTTAGAAAGCGCCGAACAACCGGAGATGATATGCCTAAGTGACTCCCCGGGATGGCGACAAGCTCGACAGACGTCGACAGTGCTATCCTTTAGGATGTATCTCCGACAGTTGTTGGTCTTAATAACCTGATCCTGAATTGCACAGACAAAACCCTCGGTTTCCCCGAAGAGGTCACCAAAACGTAGCCAGTTGAGGGAGGCAGCTGTATCTACGTGAGGCTCATGTAGAGCCCTGTAGTACCTCCCGTGGAGCTCCTTCTCCTTCCATACGGTCTCCCGGTCGGTAATACTCTGTACTGCCGGGTGTTGCCATTGCTCGTTGGCTAAGGATAGAGGGGTAAGTCCTTCATCACTAGAAATGACGTCATTATAGAATGGATCATCCGATCTCGCCAGGAAGTAATGACGGAGGCTGCACACTTCGCGATTATGCATGATGAGCGCGCTCAGGAAGCCACGCCCACCATGCTTTCGCGGCAAGTACAGCCTCATTACAGGGACGTCATTGTAGTGCGGACTTTTCTATCCAGGGCTATCAGTCTGACTCCACCTGAGTACCGCTGAGGACAGGCATGACCCAACCGTTATATGCATGTGTCTTATTTACACCGTACAAAAGGCTGTTAAGCCCTTTGGTCAAGCGTGCATAAAACACGTCGCAAACTGACTGTTTCATACCAGCCTCATCGATACCGATGTTCTGTGACATACCCAGGTATCGGTATGTTTCAGCCTCGGAAAGGGCCCTTAAGTTGACGGGCATAGATAAGTCTATGCCCTCAGAGTTAGCAACCCTTCCCCTTTCAAAATAGAGGACCGCATACTTATTCGTCCCCAGCTCCATTCTAATAGAATTGCTAAATTCACAAGTGATATTTAGCAATTCCATAAGATGGGAGCGATTGGAGGCGAATAATTTGAGGTCATCCATATAGAAAAGGTGGGTCTCTTTTGTACCTCCTTTCCGAAGCTGAAATCCCCGCCCGGAGCCCTCCAGTAAAGTACTGAGAGGGTTCAAAGAGAGGCAGAACCAGATTGGACTCAGACAGTCGCCCTGGAATATACCCCTTCTTATCCTTATGCGGCTTTCCGCAGCCGCCATCCGCTCGCCTAGATGACAGAGGATCGTACTCCACTGCCCCATACACTGCTCGAGGAAGTCTCGAACTGTACAGTCAATCTTGTACAGCTCGAGGACCCTCTTTAGCCATGTATGGGGCACCGAGTCAAATGCCTTTCTGTAATCTATACAGGCGGCGGAGAACTTCCGACGGTTGCGTTTCATCACTTTGCCAATGACCGCGTCAATGAGGAATGGTTCCTTGGTTCCACGACCGCCGCCTCGACATCCATTTTGAGCGCGCGACGTCACCTGATTTGAGTCCAGGTGACGAGTGATTCTCGCACTCAAAATGGATGTTAGTGTCTTGTATATGGTCGGTAGACACGTGATGGGGCGGTATTTGCTCGGGTCTGTGGCACCCTGATCTTTAGGAACCAAATGAGTGATCCCAGTAGTGAAGAGGCTTGGGAGCGACTTCTGGTTGAGCGCCTCTGAAACTGTCGGGCGAGCACAGCGTGAACCCTTTCAGCCAGTAGTGATGCAGCCCGTCAAGCCCCGAACTTTTCCAGTTCAGGGCCCTACGGACCGCCTCAGCTACGTCATCCGGCGTTATAATGACGGGGTCCATGGGCGTAATACCCGCACACTGACTCCTCTTCTTCTTTCTCTTGACTTCCGTCCAAGATCCCTCGTTGTGGTTTACGGGCTCTGACCACAGGCTGCGCCAGAATGCGACCGTGTCGGCCTGATTTGGTGCTGGGCCCGTTCCACCTACTATTGGTCGCTCCAATGATTTATAGAGCCTCCTCTGATCACTCTGGAAGAGACGATTCTGGTTGAACCGTGTCGATCTCTCGGTATATCGCCGAATCCGCTTTCCCCAAGCAGCGATTCTTTGCTTCAGGTCGTCTGTGCGCTCCGTCAGTTTTTGCATTATATCCGGCTGGGACA